CACTTTTCTGATCTCGATTCTGATGCTCACTTCTTGCACACTCCTGCGTGAGTTTGCCTCCCACATGATCCGCACCGAGGTTCTTGATCTGCTGCTCTAACTCAATAAATCCAACAACACTACTTATTGATCTGCCCTATTTCGCTCGAAGGCTCCACCTCAAAAAATCTAAACAAAACTTTAATCATGAAAAGGTAAATCCCATTTCCAGAGCTCAATTCGCGCCCTTGGCCCGACTGTAGACTTTGCAGCTCCAATTCTGCTCCAACCCCCATGTACTCCGCTCTGACCCTTGCTCACGAGCCCGCGTGCTTGTTCCCACACGGTTCACGTGCGCCCTGAGAGCCTCCTACAACCAGCCCGCTGCCCTGAGCGGCATGACTAGTACCTCTTATGTAACCCTACTCGTAATCGCAACGCCAAACTGCACATGTAGCTCCGATCTGCAGGGCACCATGCCTCTTCGCCTCGCTTGCACTGGTTTGACCACATGTCTCCACTCACGCGGGTACGCCCTTACTCGCATGTGAAGCCACCTCTCGCGAGCCGTTGATCTACTAGCAATCCCATAGATCTACTCGCAATCTCCAATTGTCCTGCCTCCAAATCTTCGCGCAAATGAATCCCATGTTCCCGTACACCTACCTCCTGCTTACCCTAGACAAAGCCAAGCTCGCGGGACTTCTTCTGTGCCCACATCTAACCATGTGTTCACTAAGCCAGCGCAAGAATCGAACCGGCAACGTATGCGCCTCTAAGTCCTATATCCAATGCTATTTTTCACTTGAATCTAAGGCCAAAAAAAAAATAGGTCGTGCGACACGCACTTGTCTCTGCTTACGGGACACTACCTATGTGTCTGTCTCTGTGCATTATACATGTGCGACTCGTTTCGACGTGTTCCACTTCGCACTGCCTGCTTCTTGCTTCTATGCGCAAATCCAACCTGCACTAGACCTTCCATTTGCCTCACGCAAGCAAACCCGCATGTGAACACTCGTCGGCGACACCGGCAACGACCACCTGCTCTCTCTCTTGATTACATGAACATCTTCCTCGAGATCGCTTCCACCAGGCTTTGATATCACTTCTTAAAAATTCTACGGGAAGAAGAATGCTCTTCTCAAAATTTTTGGATGAGAGAGAGAGAGACGTGGAAGAAAGAGAGAGAGGGAGAGGAACACATGAATGTCTTATTTCATTATTCATGTGGGCTATTACTGGGTCTCTCCATACATATCATTCTATAAGTATTATATATAGATTTACATAGGTGTAATGTCTAACAAAGTAATACAAGAAAAACTGGACCAAATACTCTAAAAAATATAATTAAAAAGGAAATAATTAACATATCAATTTTACAATTAATCTTTACTAGATTATTTATCATATGATTTATATTTTATACACATGCCTTTAATGTAACATTTTTATAAAATTACGCCAATGCAGACATGGGGAGAGAAAGCATAAGAATCAAGGCTTACCATTTTGAGCCATCTGCTTTCTAACACAGCTTATCATTTGAGTTATCTACTTTCTAACAATAAAAGAACCATAGAACTCATCTTTCTGCTTCTTAAAGTAATTTTCTAATTAAAAAATAAAATGTTTGTACTCGAAAGCTGCTTTAAGAAGCAGTAAGAAAGCCGTCCCAAACGAAAACTAAATTTCATGCGTCACTCGCATCCAAATTTACGTCTTTCTTATTGTTTTCTAAAAAGGTTTTTCGTAAAAAATTTCAAGTTTTTTAAAAAAATTGTACTGAAAAAATATTTTAAAAACAATAAAAAATTGTCCCAAATGAAAGACATAGTCTTATATGCCAAACATTTTGCTCCCATCTTCCTGAGTACTCAACTTCACCAAAATGACAATCATTTGTATCCTTATGCTGATTGGCAAATTATTACGTCCGGTCATCAGACGTCCGGACATCCAATCCAGATGTGTCACGTCATCTAAATATATTAGGACCCGGTGTATTTTGATAACGTGGTGCATCTGGATTGATGTCCGGACAAATTCGGACACCGGACATAATAATTTACCATGCTGATTAAATGGGGAATTGACCTTCAGGCAATCATCTTCGGATGAACTTATGCAGTAATCTTTTTAGCTGCTTTAGCTTGCTACTTCTCGACAGAAACGAAAAGGCATCACCATTATTTTTTTTTTATTCAACTTTTTTATTATTTAGCTGATATGAATTTTAATCTCAATGTTTTTCCGAAGCATGGAAATTAGAGCCAAACGGGAAATGTCCTTCTCAAACCTCTCTATGTTGTGAAATTATTCTGTGCATGGTCCAGACTGGAAGTTTCTTTCCAGATTGTGAGTGTACAGTGAGTATAATTTGATTTTTTTATATATACAATTTGATTTTTTATACACAATATGTATAAATACTGTGTACACTCACAGTCCGAACGGAAACTTCCCGTCCAGTCTCCGCACAAAATAATTTGATAATTTCTCCTCTATCTTCAACCAAAGTTTTTTCTTCAAAGGATAACTTTAACTCATATAGCTTATTGGTACACCCATAAATCTCACTGAGGATAATAGAGAGCTCATTTTCAACAGCCCTAAATGTATATTCTTTAATTAGCATGGATCAATTTTTTGCGTCGATGGAGTTGCTACGTCAATATGTTCAATTTGATTAAAAGTTTCACGAAATGAAAATTCAGATGATCTTGAATTTAATTTTGAATTTTTAATGCATATTAATTGCCCCTTATTTTTGGATGCCTTATATTTGATTTTTTTACAAAGTCTCGTTAAGTGACATTGAACCAAGTAAATTATCTTTGATCATAATTTAGGATTTGCTAAAGCTCACAGTCTGACTGAAGTGAAGATTGTTGAAAAATATTGCTCTAAAGTCATCAATAAATTGCTCGAAATTGACTTAAATTGCCCTGCTGAGATTTGGTAGTATCAAAATTAAGTGCAAAATATTAAAAAAATGATATAGGGGACTCAACAAACAATCGAATCAAATTATTCATACCACAAAATAGACCTGGACAAGCATTAATGACCATATTGATTAGCCGGCTGCCACCCACTGGGCGAATTATTACGTCCGGTCACCGGACCGTTCGGACACCAATCCAGATGCACCACATCGCCCGGATACACTGGACCCCGGGTGTATCTGGGTGACGTGGCGTGTCTGAATTGATGTCCGGATGAATCCGGGCACCGGACGTAATAATTTTCCCACCCACTAGTAGCACCGATGATAACCCTCACGCATAAGGCAACACACTGCGGGAGCACATACAGCACCTCATAAGTTATTTATATTTTATTTACTTTGAAGTTATTTGGATAAATATAAAAGAAATGAGGATTTTTTATTTTAGTTTAAAATAAAATAATGTAAAGTATAAAATGGTATTGTTCAGTAGCTAACATGAGGTGGAGGTGCCCGGCGACAGCGTGGTTGTCGGGGGGCGGCCGGCGACAGTGGTGGTCGACGACATCAAGTGATGGCCGACGAGTGGGGTCGAATAGCAGTGGCGGGGCGGTGGTGGCTAGCAACGGGCGATCGGATAGTGGTGGCCAACTACGGGGTGGCCAACAATGGTGGTAACAGAGGCGGCGGGTGAGGGTGATCGGGATGTCGTCGACAAGTGCATTATATTTCAGATATATTTGAAACTAGCCCAATTTTGAGGAATTCAAAATACAACAAAAATGAATAACATATTGTATTCCAAATACATCAAAATTTTATATTGTATTTCTTTTACTTCAAACCAAACACCAATATTCTCAAAACCCATGCATTTGAAATACATTACACCCAAGCAACCCCTTAACCTGCATGTCATAATTAGGCAGTAAAATACTAACCTCCGAGTGCACATTTTGAAGAAAAAAGAAAAAAAAATCCGTTTTTTTATTTTAAAAAAAGGTCTATTCTTTTTAAAAAATATAAAATTTTCATAAAATTTTTCTGATTTTTTTTTTCCTCTTGAATCTATAAATATCACCTTGGGGCTAAGAGAGAGGCACGGTTCTTGTATGCAGGCTCCAATTTTTCTCCCTTAAAGGATGAGCAAACTATCCAATGAACCATCGGAGGCAATAAGTCCCTACAACCAAGCTTCGATCTTTCCTTGAAGTCCATGCCCACAATCCCTATGAAAACACCCAATTTTCAACGCTATCCGATACCGTCTACATGCATCAACCCCCCGGATTTCAAGACTCCATTCATCCAAATTACGTATGCCGTCTAAAGAAAGCACTCTACGGACTCAAACAGTCTCCTCGAGAGTGGTATGCTACTCTTTCCAACCACCTGGTAGCTTACGGTTTCCAAATAAGCTCCTCCGATCATTCACTGCTCACCTACAAAAATGGAGATACGCGCCTCTACATTCTCATCTACGTCGACGATATACTCCTCACAGGTAACTCCCCAACCGAAACAACTAAACTTCTCTCTAATTTACATAACCATTTTCAGATGCGTAACCTTGGGCCATTATCTCAATTCCTTGGTCTTCAAACTCAACCAACAAGCACCGGTGTCATCCTGCATCAACAAGCATATGCCAAGAAAATTCTGGACCGTGCCGGGATGGCACAATCTAAGCCGGCGTCTACTCCTATACCCACCAAAACTACAACGTCTACAACCTCTACCGAACCCTACGACAATCCGCACCTCTACAGACAAATCATCGGTTCGCTCCAATATCTCACTCTCACTAGACCGGACATCCAATTCGCGGTACAACAACTTTGTCAACACATGCATATACCGCTCAACAGCCATCACGCAGCACTAAAACGGCTTCTTCGCTACATACAAGGTACCACGACAACCGGTATTCCTTTAAACAGACAATCACTTTTATTGCAAGGCTATGTTGATGCAGATTGGGCAAGCAACACTCAAGACCATACCTCCATCTCCGGCTTTTGCAACTTTCTCGGCCACTCTCCGGTCTCTTGGCAAGTCAAGAAACAAAGCACAATCGCCCGTTCTTCCACAGAAGCCGAATACCGCGCACTAGCAACTGCAGCCTCCGAAGTTTTATGGCTACGACGACTGCTCGAAGAGTTCCATACAACTCAGGACTCTCCAACGACGGTCTACTGTGACAACACATCGGCCATCGCCCTTGCCAACAACCCAGTTTTTCACGCACGAACAAAACACATAGAGGTCGACTGCCACTTCATTCGAGACTGCATCAAGAAAAATCACATTGCTGTCCACCACATCTGCACAACAGATCAAATTGCAGATCTTTTTACAAAGGCCCTCCCTACACAAAGATTCAAGCATCTATCCAGCAAACTAACCGCAACTCTTTAGCCATTAGTTTGAAGGGGGCTGTTAACAAACATTACACGTGTCACGATATGCTTGGATGCTTCCTTTGTAACGTTAGCTTACCGTACCATTCTTTATTACCTTTCTCTATTTAAACTGACGCTACTCTGTAAACCAAACATAATAAAGAAATCTTTCTTTTCCACTTTATCTGCTCTCGCTCTGTCTGTTTCCTCAAGAAGGAAATCCTCCTCTTCTCTTCTTTCCAGTCCGGTGGAATTCGAGTTCTTCAATTCAACAAGCAAACTATCCAACGAACCATAGGAGGCAATCAATGTCTGAAGTACATACAACAAAGCTTCGATCTTTCCTCGAAGTAAATACTCAGAATCCCTACGAAAACTCCATTTTCTTTTAAAAAAAGTGTTGATTGTTTCAAGGCCCACAACCCGACTTTGAGGCTATGGTCTTTCTTTGTAGAAAGTGTAGAGTTTCCTCGTCAAACGGATTAGATTTGATGGTGGTTGAAGCTTGCAATCCATATGGCGAGGCATAAATCTTTTTCTTAAAAAAGGTGTTGAATGCCCTCATCAAATATATCAAATTTAGATGTGATTAAGACTTATGGTCCCCCTATAGCGAAGCTCTAGTCTTTTGCCTTAAAAAGGTGTCGATACTCCTCATCGGACAGACAAAATTTAGAGACAGACAGGACTCACAATCCATATAATGAGGCTCTGATCTTCTTCTTTTTTTAAAAAGTGTCGAGTGTCATCATCAAATGAATCACGTTTATAAACAGTTAAAGCCAACAATCCAAATGATGAGGCACTGGTGCTGTCAAGTATTTGTCACACTCAAGAATCTATATTGGAAGAATTATATTTGTCTTTCATTTTAACCATTTAACTAGAGCTTATTAATGAATAGCGGAAAAAAAATATATGATTACATTTTTGTTTTATCCAGAGCCTCATATCATAGGATCCTTACCCTTTTCTGAAACATGTAAAACCACGTAATGAGCACATAACCCAGCAAGTAACTAAAATTTTATAACTGAAATCAATAAAATATAAAAGAGAACAATATGTTATAAATCATATAAAAAAATATATATGTATCAATGTATAAATTGATTATCAGTATCAATTTATTATTTTATAATTCATCACATCTCAATCAATTACATCATCAATCACAATATCAATATTAGTATCAGTCAATAGTACTAATGCTAGGAACAATATTAGTATCATGATCAATAACATTAAATAGTGTTAATGAAAGTAAACAGTTTGAGGGTCGGTCCCAATATCAGTATAGTATTCATAACAGTGTCAGTATCATCATTGAGATCTTAAAGGAATCGTGCCCCAACTCCTCATTACTCCCAATCAATCTCCAGCTTCTTATGACATACAATCAGTGAATCACATAAATTTGTAAGGTATCACATAGATTTATCATATCATGTATCTGATATCATTCAGTACTTAATTTGAAATGTAATAAAATCATATCAAATCATTCAAAATATCAAGAGAATGCTTTTTAACAAATTTATGAGAGATAAATTCGCAGAAATCAAAATCCTTGAAAAAAGAAGTAAGAAATTAGTCACTTACAGATCAATACCAAAGCGCTCTACTTCAAAATTTTCATATTTTTCAAAAAAATTTATTTCACATATTTGAGTTATTACAATATTGATGTTGTCTTTAATATCATTAGAATCATTTGAGATATATTACAGTTAAAGTAGAATTTTTTAAGTTACAACAATCTTCATAGGAGAAGAGACCTCCCATTGAAAGATGAGACTAGTTTGAAAGTTGTAGAAGACTTCATAAAATCTCTTATAATATTGACAAAGAGCATATTGATATAATGTATATTCAGTAGTTTTAAATGTGGCCCTGAAATAAAACTTCTTATTTGTATTACACATATATATATGCTTCTTAATATAATATAAAATCTTGACTAATTTTTACAATCAAATGTTTAGAAGTTATGGTATAACAAATGAAAACTTAACCTTTTGTTTAATACAGATCCAACGTTCTAAGAACTTTTCTTGCCTTTTGTAGGAGACTAAGGCTTCGTTTGAGACGACTTTTTTGCTGCTTCTTAAAATAACTTTTTAGTACAAAAATTAAAAATTTTATACTAAAAAATTGTTTTAAGAAGCAGTAAGAAAGTCGTCCCAAACGAAACCTAAGTCACTTTGGATACATGGATCTCTTTACTTCTGTGTATAAGAATGATTGATGTTTTCGACATAACGATGATAGCCTATGTCAATGTTGTAGTTTTAAACAAGCTCTCTATGAAGAATTATTTTGAAATTTTTATCTTTGGTTGTTAGAATATGGTATCATCCGAAATCTTAACTTATGATGAAAAATATTTAGAAAAGTCCTCTAAAAATTGTTCTATTTATCTAAGGTTATTTGTCATGTGTTATTTTATGACATTAACCTGTGTGAAAAAATAGTCAAGCTACTGCGCCCAAAAAAATTAAAAACATGAGAGAGAGATTTTGAAGTTAGCAATTTACAAAAATCTAGCACACACAAAGAAAAGAGGGACATGAAAATCTAAAAATGGGAAAAAAATCACAGGGTTTGGCCTAATTGAAATTATTCCTCTAGTATTTTTCAACTAAAATGATTTTCTTTCTTTTGATTGGATAAAGTGTTGATATGATAGACAAACTTTATAGAATAAATTATGTGAAGAAAGTTGGAAAAGTCATATGACATAATAGCTACATTTAAGAGATTATTTATTATTTGTTTGGTTGTTCTCCTTTATAGAGGGGAAGCCAATGATTAAAAAATCTCGCAAAAATGTTGGTACTAACATTATAAGTCAAAGTTTATGTTGATAGTATGCATTGGCCTTATAGGCGAAGATGTGTATAAATTCTATTGATGATGACGAGCGTAATGTCAACAAGCATTAGTGTAGTCAATGGACAATGGTCAAAAAACTATAGTAGGATGACAATGGTTAAAGGATCTATAGGGCCATAGTCGACAAAGGTGGTCAAAGGATTGGAATTGTGCCATGGTGGTTAGTATACTATAGTCAATCGATGTGGTCGAACAATTGTAGCGAGGCATTAGTGGTCAAACGATCATAATTGGGTGATAATTATCAAAAGATCATAGTCGGACTACAATAATTGTAGGACTGTAGTTAGGCGATGATGATCAGAGAACTATAATTGGATGAGATAATTGAGGAACAATGGTCAAGCAATAACAATCGAAGCACGATAATCAGGCAATGGTAGTCAAAGGATAGTATGTGGGCGACATTGGTCAGAGGACTAAAATTAGCGATGTTGGTTGGGGCTGGGATTACAGTTGGACAATAGTGGTCAAATAACCATAATTAAGTGATGATTGTTAGATGACAGTAATCAAGTGATAGATATCAAAGGATTATAGTCAAGCAATAATGGTGGAGGAAAGCATAGTTGAGCGACAACAATTTGAGGACTAGTGTTTGGCAACAATGATCAAAGGATTATAGTCAAGTAAAAGTGGACGGGAGACCACTGGGGGTAACAATGATCAAAATATTATAGTTGAACAACAATTAGTGGAGGCTAGAAGTATAGTGGCTATGTTGGGATATCATAGTTTTGCAATTGTGATTATAGGACTATAATTAAATAAATGTAGTCGGAGGCCATAGTCAAGCAAAAATGGTCAAGGGACTGAGGTTAGGAGAAGGTGATTAAGAGACTGCAGTCAGGCCAAGATTGTTTGAGAACTACAGTAAAGTTACAGTGATCAAAGCGCAATAGTCAGACAATGGTGGTACATAATAATTTATTAGGCGATGATAGTCAAAGAACTGTGATGGACGATTATGATCGAAAGATCATAGTCACAAGATAATGGTCACTATCCTCCATTGAATATCAAGCCAATGAACATCTTTCATACTAAGAGTGAAAGTCTAATTTTATTTTTTTAAAGTGACATGCTGAATAAATATTTTTTTAAAAAAATAACACTTCATCAAACAACCAATACTAATTCTCTTGATCATATAACATCCTTTCATATTCAAATGCCTTAATGATATCAAAATAGAGCAGTATTAAGATCATTGGAATTGCATTATCGAGACCCTTGATTTAACAACAAGCATGCAATATATGGAGATTATTTAATCATCCAATAAATATTCGAAGATTTCCAAAAGTACTTGATTTAAGCTCTTATAAACTGAAATCAAACCACTCTTGATATCGATGAATCCATTTCATTAAGATATTCCATTTATTTTAATTAGATCTGACACAAAATATAAGCATAAATTAAAAGACTATGAAAGAAAGTTTGAAGCTACACAAATATACTCCATATATGTCATTGTCCTTCAACAAAAACAATGCTATTGCGGCCAAACAAATTAAAATAAAATTTAACGCTGATGTGAACGATTATATGGTCTGCTGTAATAATAATACTTACATAGCTAATAGATGCGTCATGTCAAGAATCAAAGTTTTGGGATTTTGTCTTTATATTCTAGTACAATAACACAGATTTTGTAGATGCGACTAAAAAAATTACTAAGTCTTTATTGATGCTTACGTATAACCAACGATTATATATTTTTTGATCAATATCTTACTACCATATGTCCATATCTTAATGTTACGCAATTACAAAATATAAAAGCTACATCACCAACGAAAGCAAAATATGTTGATGTTACTCAAGTAGACTTTTTTTTTTAAGGACATTTAGGTCAATTAAGGAAAACTCATACACACATTATATACTTAAGATTAATGCCTATGGGTGTCAATATTTGACATGGCCGGAATCCTGACCCTAAAATTTGGGTTCGAGTTGACCCAAACCCGAACTAGGTCGGATTCGGGTTAGAAATTTCAACTTGTTTGTAAAACCGGGTCGGGTTCGGGTTGAACCGAAAACAAAAATAATGACTCGAAATAACAACACCTGCCCGCCCTGCCCGAGTATGCCAGCATGAATGCAAGTACCGCCCCTGCCCCGCTTGCATGCGTCGCCACGTGTCGCGCCTACCCACGTGCCGGTATCCAATTGTCCCGCTTCGCGAATAGCCGTCCGGCCTCTGGCGTCCCGCTGCCCACGTCCGGCGTCCAGCATGACGGCATCCCGTTGTCCCGCGTCCGACATCCCGCTTTCAGGTGGTGTCGGGTTGACCCAAACCTAAAGCAGGTCATGTTCGGGTTCAAAAAACCAACCCGTTTGCAAAAACATGTTGAGTTCGAGTTGACCCAAATAGTGCCAGTCAGTTCCGGATACCCAAACCCAACCTGTGACCCGAAATTGACAACCCTATTCGTACCCATAACCTTTTGGTTATTAGCTAAAATTCTCAATCAACAGATCAAGATGAGCTGCGTAATGCAGACATGCAAATTATTCTGTAGAATTTTTCAAAACGCTTCGAAAAAGGAATGCAAATAACTGCTCATACAAATCACCTCATGGGAGCTCTGTGATTAGAGCCAGAAGATTCAAACTAACTCAATCATTTTCTAAATTCATAGCTCAGATAAAGACATAAAACCAAAATCTTTTTGAAAATATGAAGTGAAACATCCAACAAAACTCAAATAACAGATGAGAGGGAATTCGTATCATGTAACAATAAAGGGCACATAAGCATTGTAGATTTCACACACGTAGGGATACAAAAGACCAAATACCCATGGCATGCATACAAGAACATAGAACAAATGGGGCCAAATACATTAGATATCAGGAATCATAGACCAAAACAGTTATTTATTGACTACCAAATGAGAGAGAAGCAGCCTTCAAATTATCAAGCAGGAGTCAAAGTATTACCCACATCGATCACAAATCGATATCTCACATCACCCTTAGCCAACCTGTTCAACGCTTCGTTCACATAGTCAGCTTTGATGAGCTCGATGTCTGCAGTTATGTTGTGCTTTGCAGCAAAATCTATCATCTCTTGCGTTTGTTTCAATCCACCAATGGAACTACCAGCCAAAATCCTCCCTCCTGAAGAAAAAAAAATGGCTACTGTAAGCTTACAAAGCTAAGCCAGTTAGAGAAGTATGAAGAATCACAGAGGTATAATGCTAACCCATTAATAGGGGGAAGATGGGTAACTCCAGTGGGCGATCTGGCACGCCAACCATGATCATTTTTCCCTGGTTCTTCAAGAGAAAGATCAATGGCACTATATCGTGCTTTGCCGACACAGTATTTATTATGCCATCCATGGTGCCCATTGCAGCCTATAAAAGAAAGTTTCTCAACAGTTGGTTACAGAGATGAAACAGAAGAAAGCATGGATATGCTAGCGTGCGAGATGGCCATGGTTTTTCTATATTACTTTTAAAAATTTCACCATTGTTATCTGTGTTGTGGGAATAAAATTCGCAACCAATTTCAAATTTTTAATATGCTAGTTAGCGAATTTTCCACGCAATTAGGGGTGTCAAAATGAGTATGTGGGCCGGGTTAGGGTCAAACCCGGATTGACCCAAGTTTAAATAGTTTGATCATAACCCGACCCAATTTTGCAAACGGGTTAGAAAATTCAACCCGGACCAAACCCGCGCGGGTTGCAGGGTTGACCCGACATGAGCTGCAGACCCGCTAATTCAGAATTTCGGGCAGCGGGCTAGGGCGAGGCTGGGCAAGCAGGGTAAGGGGCAGCCAGCCAACAGCGGGCAGCGGGCTAGGCTGGGCGACCTGACCGAGGTGGGCAGCTGGATAGGGCTAGATTGGGTTGCCGCGTGGTGGACTGGTGGACGTCAGACTGGACGCATGGCTTGCGTGCTGAAGACTGAAGGGCTGAAGGCGGAAATGCCGAAGGCGGCCAGGCGGGTGTGTGGGCAAGACCATTTCCGGATTGGGCATTTGGGCTTAGCCGCTTGGCCGAGAGGCCCAAGACGGACTCCCCCCGCATGGCCGCATGCTAGCCGCTAGGCCGGGTCAGACGGCTAGCAGACCTGAACTAGGGTCAACTTTGGGTTGATTTCGGGATGCCGGGTCAACCCGAACCCGACCCAATTTTAAAAATGGGTCACATTTTTAAACCCGAACCCAACCCCTTTGATAAACAGGTTCACCCTAACCCGGAATTTTTCGGATCAGGCCCGGGTGGGGTTTCAGGTCGTGTCAAATATTGACACCTCTACACTAAATCTCGAGGACTTTCTACAGTATTTTCAAGTAAGTCACTGAAAAATGATACATTACCTGCATCTGCTGAGGATCGCTGCTAACTATAAACGCATCAGCTCCCAAAGTTTTAATGGCTTCATCTTTCTTATTTAGAGATGTGCTTATAACAGTGACCTTCATTCCAAAAGCCTTGCCAAATTTGACTGCAACATGGCCAAGTCCTCCAAGGCCTACAACACCAAGGTGCTTTCCAGGCTCATCGAGACTGAAGGTCTTCATGGGATTGTAAACTGTTATTCCTGCACACAACAGTGGCGCGCCCTTGTCCATCGCCAAGCTCTCAGGGAACTTCACCACAAAATGCTCTCTAACAACAATCAAATCTGAATATCCGCCATAAGTGATTGTCCCATCTATGTCGATTGAATTGTATGTTAATATCATCTTTGAGCAGTAATTCTCAAGGTTATTTTCGCAACCATCACAAGAATGACAAGAACCAACCAAGCAGCCAACACCTGCTTTGTCTCCTACTTTAAACTTTTGAACATTGCTCCCAATTTCTGTAACAACACCAACAATTTCGTGCCTGTGGAAAGCAGTGTGGTTTAATAAGGCATAATTGTAATTCATGATAATGAAAACTCAAATTTTTTTATGATTTAGGTTTCGTTTGGGACAACTTTTTTATTGCTTTTTAAATCAGTTTTCTAATATAAAGAAATTTTTTTTCTAAAAAATTAACTTTAAAAAGCAGTCCCAAACGAAGCCTTAAATACTAAGGCCTATGAGTACAAACCCTGGAACTACTGGGTAGATAGCATTTTTCCACTCATTCCTGATGACGTGAAGATCTGTGTGACAAATACCACAGTACAATATCTTTATGGTAACATCATTATCGCCATTGTTCCTGCAACATTACAACAATGAGCACTATTAGAAACTCAATTCGAAGTTAGGTTTGTCCACAAGTGAGAGTCCTGAGGATGCCTTAAAGCAAGTGTGAGTGTCAAAAACTCATACATGATATAGAAAAACATTACTATTTAAATTCTAAAACTAATAATTAATTTTGTTTTTCTTCTTATTCATGGGTAATTGAAAACTCTCGCATGTTTTAGATGCTCTTTAATAAGAGATATGAGGACAATCATTAGAAAGTTCCTCCATCGAGGAAAGCAAAATCCAGTGCATTTTAATATAGAAAAGAAAAAAAATCCACAAAAAGGTAAATATCTTTCAAAATTTTATGCATATCAATCTAATTACCGAATTAAATACTCATAAATTAAAGTCAAACCCATAAGAACAATTGATTTTGGATTAAAAAAAGGATTTGATACCACCTGCCCAAAATAAATGCATGGGTGGAAAAATGGTGGTTGTACTGTGCAACCACCAAAGTAATTGAAGAGCATCAGGATCCCTATTCATGTTAGGGTAGAAAACTTAGCTGGTGGTTTTAGTTTTTACTATACAGGAAGCACAAGAAGGTTCGAGTCTTGCCGTGTATGAATTTGACTTAATTGACCTAAATGTTCCAAAAATAATAAAAAAATAAGGCTTGACTCAGGAGTGTTATAGCCTTATGTTCATATATGCTGGCAAAATATACAAAGCTTATGAAGTTTACAAATATGTATTCTACATTTCTACTAGATTTCACCATCATTTTAAATATCATAATAAAATTACATTGGTTTTTAACACTGCAAATCTCCAAACATAAAGGCTTTTCATTTCACATACAGATTGAGTGAAAACAAAAAAAGTTACCTTCAAACAAGTAGAATTAAAGTACATACTAAAATTACTTGCATTTAAACGTGTCGCTTAAATTTAGAATCATAATATTTCAAAATTTATATTTTATAATACATAATACATTCTAATTTCCACTATCAAACGAAGCCTTATATCAACAAAGAATATAAAAAAGCTTCATTTAAAGAAAGTGATGACAGTATTAATGGTCACACCGAAGATTTCACCAACCCACAAAAGCAGAAGTTTGCAGATGACGCAATGATGTCAGTCCAGGCAAGAGACAACTATTAACATTTAAAGCATTAAAAGCAAATGGCAAAGGCACCGGCGTAGATAGAAATATTAATGGGCTTCCCCAGTGCCAAGACTCACTGAGTCCAGTTCTTCGAACTTTTTTGCCCTTGTACAATGCAAAAATTATAGGGATCTGTGAAATTTTGGTCTTATTTTGACTTTTAATTATTAAAAAAAAAAACTCACTTTTGAAAGGTTTTTTTTTTTAAAGAGATCTGTGAAATTTCAAGTCAATGGTATCTAACTATATCCAATTAAATGATAGATTTATAAAAATTTATCAATCTTTCACTATATGATTACTTTGGGGCTGCTGATTGCAAGATTTAGACTAAATCTTGTCATATAATTTTTTGAGGAACATAAATCCTACCAGCTTCTGAAAATCCCATTTCCTTTCCATTTTAGGCGAAACACTGGATTTTGTAAATCCATTAAAGATTCTTCTCCTCCTCATTCGGGCCAATTGAATATAACCATGATTCAACTCAAATAGCATATAATAAATCTTACAAGTTCAAATTGATAAATCTGGTAAACATTCAAATATTAAACTTATTTGGTAATGACAAAAACTAAATTGTGCTAAACCTTGATAAATTATTTGAATAATTATTTCAGGATTTAAAATTTCTGAAAGGAGGCTGCCAATGGTGGGATTTAGTATATCCTGGATTTAATCAATAACATGGCTAAAACAGGATTTATCAAAAGTTCAAAACATGAGGATTTAGAGGCAGTTTGCTTTCGGCCACATGAAGCCTCCAAAATTCTGTTTGACAAGATTTAGGCTTCGATTGGGAAGGCTTTATTACTGCTTCTTAAAGCAGTTTCTAAATCTTGCAAACGAAGTCTTTAGCTAAATCTTGTTTAAATCAAACCTATAATAGTATATCAAACAGTCCATTCATTTTCTTCTAGAGTGGACGCCAAATTTGAATATAAAGGAAAACTTGGAAAGATTTATACACAAAAAATGTTTTTTTTTATGGGATATTTTTTCATTTCAAGATATTATGTAACTATCCACTAATCTCAATTTTTTCAGATGATTTTACCATTACTCTTAGAGCAACAACTATCATTACTCCTCAAGAAAAGTAGAAAGGCCTCAAGAATAAACGCCCGACTATTCCAAAAAAGAGAAAAATAAAAACGATATAAAGAACGGCCACAAATACGAGAGCGAAATAGCTGCAGCTCACTCGCTCACTCGTGGTCTCTACGAACAGACAACAGCATCGCCGGCGGAAGCTCATCTTCATCGGTTCTTCCAACCCATCCAATAGCCAGATTAGTCACCGATTCTCTGACGCAGTACAAAAAAAATCGAAATGGAAAAGAAAAGGAGAGACGTTATTATAGATACCTTCTGGAGAAATTGAAGGGGGAGAGCACGCCGGATGAATCCTTCGCCGCCAACCCGAATGCCTTACGGGGATGCTCCTCCTCCGGCGACACCTTCTTCCTGTTCTCGATCTCCGCCATACCCTTTCTCCTCCGCTGCGATCGACTACGAAGATGAAGAAGCCTCGGCGTAGACCAAAAGATCTTAAATATAAAAGTGTTACTGCTTCGAGCTGTGCAGAAATTTCTAGCGTTCCTGACCACCGGTAAGTGTACGTTTGGTAGGGCTGCAGCTCTCCGTAAAGCAGTTTATGAAATTTGTTATACAGAAAGTCGTTTTTTGAAATTGCTGCATAGAAAATAGTATATATGAATAAATTATTTTTATATCCTCATATGTATTTAGATAAATAAATTTTATTTAAACATAAATTCTTTTCAAAATTTTATGTTAACAAACTAACACTTTTGAATTAAAATCAAATTATTTTATCAAAAATTTTATAAGTTTATATATCAAATATTTTATAAGTTTATATATATAAAATATTATAAATTTTTATTGACATTGTCCTTATCATACTTCAAAATAATTTGTTAAAATAAAAAAAATTGCTAAAATTTTAGACTTTCTAATATTACTTTATAATAAAAAAAAATTATCATAATAAAACAAATATATTCTGAGTTCTTACAACTAGAAATTCGGAGAAATACCTGAACGATTCCAATGTATCAGAGGAATGAGCGTCGTGCTACAACGAGAAAGAAATGGTCGCGGAAGTTCGCCAGATGAGGAAGACGGGAACTTTAAGGGTATTGACTTATTTCTTATACTTCCAAACAACGGGAAGCACGCGAAAAGCACACGAAAGCATGGATGTTCTTTTGGATGGGAAAAGCAACCGCGGGATGTAGAAAATTTTAAAACGGAGCACCTCCGCTTAACCCCAAACGACCTCTTGGTTACGTTCGGTGAAGCACAGCAGGGAAAAATCAGTCCCAAACGAGGCCTAAATGACAATTATTTTCAAAAAATATAAGTTCAAAAATTCTCTTATATGTAATATAAAACTGATACGTCCTAAAAAATTGCCTTGATCAAGCACGAATCTCGAGGCATATTCAAATGGGACTTTTTCAGCAAACTTACAATCAAATTGAACATCTCAAAGGGACGAACCGAACAACACCGAAATTGGTCCAACCAAAGCCCAAATGGGTCCAAATCGGGGGCCCGGACCACATTTGGAAGGGTTAAAGTATTATTTGGATAATGAAATGATATCCCAATATGACATGCTTATAATCAAATCGAGCATCTCGGCGAGACGAATCCAACGAGCCCAAGATCTCTGAATTCCGACACTGTTAAGGCACTTAAACAGTTAAAAAATTCTCTACGATCGGGGGAATCAATACGAGCCATCCGATGGAGCACTCTGAACCTGCCCCGGATCTTCTCTAGATTTACGGGATGCGCCACTCATGAAAATCTATAAATAGACCCC